CTCTGTTAAATTGACATCAACAACTATAAAACTATTTCAGCCTCCAAGGACGTTAATCTGTGATTTCATTAAGGTGTGAATAAAACCAGTGGGCAACAACAACAACCATCTCCTCTTGTGATCCAGGTGGAGGAGGCTGTGGAAGTGTGTGTTTAACCTCGCAGCGCTGCCTTGATGTCAGCAGGACTTGATTGGCTGGATGAGAGGGCTCTGATTGGGGACAACTCTCACTAACTACCTGCTAATTTAAAGGCTTGATTGGACGGGGCTCGAATTCAGAGCGAAGGGCAAACCAACCTGTGTGACAGCGTGGTGAACTTCTGAATGTCTTTCTACGGTCACATGTCGCGCCCGTGTTGGAGCAGTCGGATGCAGATTCAGTGTTTCCCATTATATTTTTCTCTTTGATAAATAGGGATTAGCATTTTGCATGAAGCTGTGTCTGAATGGAGAAACAGCAGCATTGCTAAGAAGGCTAGAAAGCAGAGGATTACAAGAGGCTTTTTGCTCTGTAATTTGATTTTAAAAGAGTCTTACCTTTGTTCTATGTGCCCAGTTAGGATGTGCTGGGAGGTTGAGATTAGCACAGAGAATCAGTTTGTGACAAAGCCGATTAGCAGGGGAACAGGGCCAACAATGGTTCCTTGTTAGAGAATCTGCATTTTAGAGTAACATTTATCCGGTCAAGCAAGGACATCTTTCTATTTCCTGTTCCAATTATATGCCAAAATGTGAATTATATGGCATTATATTTTACTACACTGTACCTGTAACATGTATTTACTGTAACACTCAGACAGGTAGAGATGTAGACAGGCAAAGACACACACACACACACACACACACACACAGTTATTTCATCCATGTACACATTTCACAAACCACTCTGAGGACATTTTTGTTTCACAGCAAGGAATTCTGCTTCAGCTGTGGTCGTCTACTGCCATCTGCTGCATGATGACACTCCTGCATGTCAGATGAAGGATTATTCCATACCTTTGTTGCAGATGTATCTGCAAGTTTTAGAGAGAAACATTTAACCTTTTTATTTTTTTAGCTGCCAAAAATAAAAGACTTATTTCAAAACCAAACTATATAAAAAGAGCTGGTCAAAACAGAAACTGTGAAATGGGTGGAGCAATAGAAATGTCACAAAATGTTGTAGATTATAACACTACGCAAAAAACTCCAACAACTGACATTTTTTATATTCCCAGTACTTCATGCTTTGTGTTTACATGACCTTTCGATCACGTCACACAAAAATTCACAAACAATTAAATATGGAAGTCAAAGGTCAGCAACATGGTGACTCTCACTTTCTCTATTCTCTCCTTGATCTTCTGATGGTTCATTGTACTTTTTTTTTATTGCAAGACAAAATACATAAAATTGGCACGACGATACACAAGGAACAAGACATGAGATAAAAAAAAATTAAAAATAAGAAAATAAACCAAAAAAAAAAATACAGTACAACAGTAACAACAGCAGCCAAAAAAACAAACACAAAATACTTAATCTTATGTGTGTGTGTGCGTCCCATATCATCAGGGAAGGGGGGTGGCTCTTGAATGGATAATAAAGAGACGCAAAGAGGGTGACAGGAGCTACAGGAGACAGACAATAAGAAATGAGTAGAAGTTATTAATATTAATAAGAATTTAGAGAATTAAAAATTTTTTAATTTTATATATATATATATAGAATTAGAATCCAGTTGCCACCACGCCCCACCACTGCAAATGACAAAGTACCCCGAGCCCTGACAGTGAGGTAGGGGTGGCGCCCGTGACGCTGGAGCGGGACAGCAGGGGCTGGGCACGCCGGGTCAACACACATTTATGTATAGAAAGTTTTCCTTTTTTACTCTATTTATCTTTTAACGTTATTTTTTGTTTGTTTGTTTTATTTTGTCTGATGTTAGTCCTATTTTGGGTGGCTCCCAGACCCTTTAGAAGGGAACCAGCCCAAAGTGGCCATGTCCCCTTTCTAAACCACTCCCAGACCGTGACCGTTATTAGAGACTGGCAGTCATGTACAATTATATATTTATTTGATGTGATGAATAAAGAATATGGGAACCCAGTCTGCCCACCCCGGCTGCTCGGGACACAGTGAAGCACCTCCCTGACCCTTCCGCCGTATTCTGAAGATGATATGGTGGTGAGGGAGGTGGCAGCAACAGAACAGAAGTGTGGGATGATAATAATGATGATAATAATAATAATAACAACATCATATCCTAATTTAATCTAGATAATAATGTCTGAGATAACAGAAATAGTAGTCATAACATTATTAATAAAATCAGGTTTGAATGATTCAATGTGGTGATATTGACAGTGGCAGCAATAGCAACAAAAAAAAGTGTAAACAAACAACAAATAAATTAGCATAACCTGAGTCAAAGAAAAGCAGTTTGATACAGCAATAAATAACTGATTCCTGCCTTCCCCCTTCTCTTCCCTTTTCCTCCCTTCTTCCTACTGTTTCCCCTTTCCCTGATGATATAGGTTGATTGTACTCAACTTCTTATAAGTGCAGTCCTCGGTCACGAACAGCTGGTTGGAAACTATATAGGCCTTTTTGTTATAATAGTTAAAAGGAACCCAGGCCACCAGGGACTAAGTGTCCCTAGAATGCATTCCTGTTCCAGCGTAACTGTCAATTGTAAGGATATTAAACAGATGAGACGTGATAGCAACATCTAAAGGCCTCAGTATGCTTCAAATGAACTGGGCCATGCAACAATCTTTTAAGCTTTGACTGGCAGGAAGGAGTAATAAACCTTACAACTTAATGGTCAGTAACCACTGGAGTTCTGGTGGTAGACGACCCTGCAAATCCCGCAAGAACGCCAATTGTTGGGAAAGTGTGGCTTTCAAAAAGTCTCTCCTCCAAGGCACTGATGGTGCTGCATTTGGTTGTTGACAGAGGTGTATGTGTGCATAGTGAAGCCTTAATGGTCAACGGTTTCTCAGTACCTGTAGTCATTCCTGTGGAGCAGTGATAGTGCTCAAGCACACCAGGCATGATGGCAGTGGACGGACAGCTGAGCTTCAGACTTGAGATAAATCTAGATTATTTGACAACGTGAACGTAGAATCAGTGCCTCATAGTAATTATCTTGTCAGTGTTGTCTGTTCAGCCAATCTGTCCTTTATTTGGAGTTTAATGCATTTTACCCTCTTAACATGGAGTTTTGTTTCCCCTCAGCCATTAGGTCATATATATTCTGTCTGTATATGCTGTGTAAAATATTCAAGCCCAAGACTTTTTTATGGCACTACTCCTTTAAATGGAAACATTCTAGATGTCCATCACATTTTGTACATCATCCCACAACTCCTACTTGGTCATTTAGGAAACTTTAAAGGGGCAATATGTAGTCTTCAGCGGCCACTAGCAGTGCAGTTTTTAGATTGCAACCAGGTGTGTGCTTGTAGGTGTGCTCATGAGCGAGTAAAATGCGACACAGACGGACTCAGGACACAGCTTCAGACAACATGCTCAGGTAAACTCTCACTGCAACGTTTTTATCAGCTTGAGGTTGAACTAGTCCATGCTCGTTCCATGATCATGCTACAGTGACTTCATTTAGCCGATTGTTTACCTGTACAACAGGATGAAAGCCAACTCTGTGTCAGTCAGTTACAAAACAAAGCGGAGGTCTCTCTGTAACGCAAGCCTCTCTGATGTTGACTGTGTTTAAACACGACCCAATACCTTCAGGTAAGAAGCAGAATAGTGGCTGTTTAAAGCAACTGAGAAAACAGATGTGTGGTTCATTTCTAAGGTTCTGAGGTTGACAAATAGTGATTTCTTGATAAGTGATTTCACTGAAAAAACTACATATAGCCCCTTTAAGATCTCCATTATAATTTCATATAAAGTTCTGGGCTGAATCTGGTTGTGTTTTTTAAAAAGAAAACATGTGGCCCCTGCCAGCAAGTGCCGCGTGTTACTGCCCAGAATGGAATGTAGCCACATAGCAGTTGCAGACTGTGACCAGTAGAGGGCACAATCCACTCAACTAAATAAAGAAATGATTCTGATTGATCAGCTCTAACACTCAACTGCATCTGTTCATTAAAACACTGTTTAAAAGTTATCAGACGTACCTGGATAACTGGATTACCAGATACACATTCCAGAGCGGTTGCTGTTGGTTAGTCTCACATCTTTCTTTGAAGAAGACAAGATCAAGATCTGTTGAAATATGCAAAATAATCAGCCACATATGGGTTTCCCCTGTGCAGGCACCTGAGTGTGGTTACAGTTCTCTTCAATAGGACTGTGTGTGACACAGCTGGACGCTCTAAAAAGATTCCCCTCTGATGTCCACCCTTTGGCCTTTATGCCTAAAACCATGGCATGGAGTGGGCTTGAATGCCCCAGGGAGCGGCCCTTTGTGTTTCATACTGGGAAGCCTGCCTATCCAGTGGCCAGGGACTATCCTGCTGCCCAGCATGCCAGGGACTCTAAAGGTTTCGAAGTCAGAGTGAATGGTGAAACAACGAGAGACACAGGGCAGCTACAGCTTCAAAGCCACGTCACGCCAGCCTGAACGAGGAACTGGACCTTCTCATAGCAGATATTAGGTGGATTAAACACAGTATGAGCTGCCTGACATTAGCATTTAGCTCAAAGCACAGCCTCATCATGCTGCTAGCAAGGCTGTACTCTTCATCTTCTTATAATGTACTAGTCCACGTGTAGTCCATTTTCACCATCTTACCTGAGTGTCTGGGATTGGATGTTTTTCTGCTACACCTCACCCATGGATAAGGGCATTTATTTTCCTTTTTAAAATGGTCTTTTTGTCCCTATGCTGGATGGAGATGAAAAATGTTGTTTAGCTCCATCAAAGCACCATGACGATAAAAGTTCAGTCTGTGTATGGTACAGTAGCTGTCAACATGAACAGAGGGTATCTGCAGTAGTGCACACAGACTCTCCCTTCACTGATGTACACACACTAAAAAGTGGACAAAACACCCAATAGTTTTTTTTTTATTGCCATTGTGCATGAACTTTGACACTGCAGGTTACACAAGGAGTATCATGTAGTGAGTCGATGAACGCTCTGACCTGCCAGTGATGTGCTCTGGTCACTCTCAGTGCTGGTTTTGTATCAGTTGATGGCTTTAGCAACAAACTACTTGCTGATCCAGCCCCCATGCTCAAAACCAAAGGAATGCAAGATGAGACGCTTGTGTCAAAGAACGGACAACATCCGGGAGGACAATACCTTTTTTATCCTATTATTGCACACATCTAGTTTACCAATGCCGAGTATATGTGAGACATTGGGAAAGCCAAAGCTCTTGGTAAGGTGCAGAAATGCCTTAAGAAACCACAACATTGCATTGAGCCTCTTTAAAAGCCACATATATACAAAATATGAATGGAGCGTAAATGCAGGGATTCCACAAGCACACCAGATATTAAAATAAATGGGGGTTATATTTCACACTTGCAAATTAAAGTTGAGGATCATTTATACTTGGTCATTTAACAGCCTGGAGGATGGTGTTTAGTACATGAGATGTTCAGGTTTTGTTGCTTGGTGGTAGCATCAGGGTGCCTACAACACTCATTATTAACAGACAGTGAGAGGGAGGCAGGCCAGTGTGATCCTTTTATCTGTGCATGAAACGGATGAAAGAGCTACTGTATGTGCAACCAAACACCTCTTAGTACTGTAGCTAGTCTCTTACAGCGATCAAATCAAAAGGCTGAGAGATATTTTAGGAATGGATCATCATGAGCCAATTTATGCCTTGGATACTAAGATCTCATGGAATGCTATGGAACAGCAATTATCTGGATTATCAGAACAGTCTAAGTTTGGATATGCAGGCTGGGGTTAAAAGTTGTACAAACATTCATCTTTGACGGCTAGAATTTTAGCTTGTGCAAACAGCCATTATTGCCTAGCGCTGGGTAAAACACATCGACCTATCATTTACCTATTCACTTGCTAGCAGGTTGTTGCAGCTAACGTGTTGGCAAACACTTGCTTATTAGCATTATTAGCATTCATCTGGAATTGTGTTTGTGTCCACCTGACGAATGGATTCACTCTCTTACTCTTGACACCGTGGATGGACAAATGAATAAAGGCAGGGCTGTTTGCTGACTTGCTGAAAAATGCTACTGCCTTCCATTAGCATTACCATGATAACATGTCAGAGTAAACCCTGTGGCAAGTCAACATATTGTGAAATGAGGCAAGGTGGGTTGAATTCATTCCTAGGAAGTGCGCGTTACTTCTCATCCATTCAAACTGAATTTTTTGAGAAGTGGCAGCCCTAGCGCATGGTGGCTAATGCTTAGCTTGTGCTCCTGTTCTATATGACCAAATGGCTTTTAAAAGAGGAAATTCATAAGTGCCAAAACACACTCTTTTACTGCTACAGTCTTGCTTTGTCTGGTAAGATTACTAGCTTATGGTGGCTAATATTAGCTTAAATGAGCAAACTGAAATATTGCTGTGTAACTGACATCACTGGGTCAGTATGTGCTGATTTTATATGACTATTTACAATTATCCCATGTCGGTTACTTGTGCCCTAAATGGCCGCAGTTCAGCAGTAATTTCGTATGCTCACAGACTGGAGAAACCAGAAACAGGATATCTTATCAATAGCATGGGTGTTTTCCAGGCAATTACTTGCTAGTTCTGATTCACCCAAACAGTATTTTTAGTATCAGCTCTAATACATCCAATTTTATTGACTTTTATCACAGATATTGTATCGGATGAAATTTTGGCTGATAAGTACAGAGATAATTTCCAAGTGGGAATTCTTCAATAATCCAACTTCAATGGATTCTCATCAATAATGTCTTTGTGTTTGTGTTAAAAAAGTAAAACTAATATTGTTATCGATCTCAGAAATCCAGTATCGCCCGGCGCTAGTCTTGATTAAATCAGGTTAAGCTGCACAATTTGGATTAAAAAAAGGAGGTTTAACTTATCAAATAAGATCATTTCTAGCTCAGAAAAATGTTTGTACAACTACACCTCAAATCTACACCCGGGAAGAACCAAATGCTTCAGTTTGATTGTATCTTCACGTGACGGTACTGCAGACTCGTCCACCTCTGGTCCACTGTCAACAGGCTCAGGAGAGCCAATCACACAATGTCTTCAGGCTTAAATAAACAGCCAGCCGCTGTACGTCTCCAAGTCTCTGTCCAGCATGCTTCCATCAACACACACACAGCCATTAATACCATCACTCAGTGTGTGTGGTCCTGTACAGTATCCCACCACCAGTCAGAGAAGGCAACCACGAGGGCATGCCTGCTAATCCACGCCTTTACCCTCCGCAGCTAGCTAGAACGAGTCTAGTCTCAGACTGGACTCTGGAACAGAAAGGAATGATTCGTCTTGGGAATGAGAAAAAACAGGAATAAATGAGGGTGAATCTGTTCTGCTTAGTTAAGCTGCAGATATTTGTATGGACATACATTCCAAATTACCTGAGTATAGACTCTGATTGTGAAATACCTGAAGCACGGCCAGATGCAGACACTGTGCAACCAATTTGAGGCCATTTTCTCTCTGCCAAATTATTCTCTCATTGCATTTTAGAGAGGGTTTAACAATATGACCTGGATATTGTAAACATAATCCTGAATAGTACAGCTGTTTTTCCTGTTCGGTACATAGCAATACAACAATACACAGTTTTGGATCTTTTTTTTTTTTAAAACAAGCATTTTTCTTTCTTTTCATAGAGATATATGTGTGTATATATATATATGTTTAGAGAGCTTATTCATACTGTGAATGTTAAAACTGAACACAACACATAATTTAATCAGAAATATACTACTGGTTTAAAATGCAGGCCCCTCCCCCCATCTATAGTGCTCCATTCTTCCCTTTGATGCCTGCATATAACCTTTAACCATCAGGTCCTTCCCTGCCAACAACAGCTCAGACATTATGCAGGACAGAACATGTAGGTGGAGAGTCTTTGTGGTGGCGGAGGTGGTTATTCAGGACATGTTGCTAAGTCATGCAGAGATAGGGGGGGTGGAAGGGGTCAGCACAGAGAGACGGAGGCTCCCCTGGCAGAGCAGAGGGAGGTGTTGGTGGAACAGTCAGTGGTGATGGTCGGTGGTCGCTAGCGTGGATCCCGGAGTCAGAGGCCAGCTCTGCTCAGGTCTAGCTGATGGCTGGGCTGTCTGTCTGGGGATCTGCAGTCTCTGAGGGCAAGCCGGGCTCCTCCGGGGGGTCGTCTGTGCTGGTGCTCGTGGAGACCTGAGTGGAGGCGCCGTAGAGCAACGTGGCCCCCTGTGGCTCTGAGACTGAGCCCGCCTCTGCGTTATCCTCGTCCTCCTCGGGCTCTGAGGCCGGGATGAGGTGCAGGGAACCGGGTAGTTTGACAGGGCAGAATGCCGAGCCTGTCGGGATGAAGTTGACCTTGTTTTTGTCGGGGCAGGAGAAGAGGGGGACTGATGCTGATGTGGACTGCCTGGAGCTGCAGAGAAACATATGCACCGTCAGTGAGGAGCACACACTCCTGAGGCAGCAGAGAGGAGTTTAAATTCAACACAAGTAACAAACAGTCTATACCTCATCTCCTCAAAAGCTTTAATCTTCTCACAGCCCTCTGGTGGCTCCCGCTTAAACATGTAACTGTTGTTGGGTTTGGGTGAGGAGGCAAACTTAGGCAGTGGTGAGCTGCTTCCACTGTCTGTGAACACAGAGATACAGGGTAGATCCAGGCCTAAGGGCAATCAGCACGAGCAGCATTTTTGAAGCATTTCAGGAGCACTTTTGATGTCCAGCACTCATCCGCCTGTGCTGCATAAAATGTAATAATCCACACTGATTCCAGTGTGACCCCCCTTTTTTCAAACGTTCTGATTCTATTTTCTTTCTACTCCGGGGTACGTAGTGAAGAATCTCCACAGCCAGCTGATCAAATGACAAAAATCTTCTGTCTAAATATTGTAGAGAACTGTATTATAACTGTAGTGGCAATTTATTATAGCCTATGTGACCTTTTGGACTCACCATGGTAAAACCTTAGCACCTTACAAAAACTAGTTCAAGAATGCGTTTATGTGTGTAAGAGCCCTGTTCCTCCTCTTCTGCTAGTGCCTTTTACAGCTCCGAATGCTGAGTGGAGCCAAGGTCAGATAAAGCTTCTCATCATGCCACACTGCTAACCAACGGTGCTTCAGAACCCAGGGACAATGTGTAACTACGTTATAAGGCATGACGTTCATGCATGTGTGTGAGCTGCTGTGAGTAGAGCTGAGTAACAAAAACCGGTTCCAAGTTGGAATTGATACCAGATTTCCAAGAACGGTGGATTCGTTAAGAAATGTGCATTACGGGTCTCCTTATTGGTTCCTAACTTTCTGTATATTTCAGTACATAAAAGTGTCCCTTATCTGCCCGGACCTGCTACCTGACCTAACGTCACATCATTTGTTACGCAGTACGTCAACAAAGCATGAAGAAGAGAGTCCTTCTGTTTCCATTCCCGGACCATGGCGAACCGCAGGAAAGAAAGAGGACCACACAGCAAAATGCAAGACCTGCAATAAGGAGGTTTGGTGCGAGGGAGGAAGCAGCTCCAACATGACGAGCGTTTACTTCAACACGGCGTGAATGTGAAGGAACGCACCGTGTCCAATGCGTCGCGCTCTCCCAGCTACAATGACGCCCCAGATACAGCTAACGCTAACAGTAGCAACGTCTCACGCTCAAGCACAAAACACAGGTGAGCTGACGTTCACCTTTTATACTGAAGGGAAACCAATGATGTCTACAAACAATTCAAATTAGAGAGTTCAGCCATGAAGGGGAAGATGAGCAAGGAGGAAGTGGATGAAGGTCACCAAGCGCAATACTAGAAAGGTACTGCAATACCCTGCTGTTAAAAACGATACACTACTGCCTTTTATTGGAATTGTAATACAGTAGTTTAAATAGGAGCGCTGTGAGCAGAGTAGGGGTACAACAACTAATTGACAAAAATCGATTATCAACGAATCGATTCGTTCGTGACGTCATTGGGCCGTAACGACACCGTCAGCTTAAGGGAGTAAAGTGATGTGAACAATAAAGTTACTAAAACAACGTAACACGTCCTAAAAATTTTCCCCCTTCACTTAGCCTGAAGGTTGTGAACTGCAGCATCTGGCTCGTGTCACATAGCTTCACATAACATGAATTCCATATTCTAAGCAGCCAAAAGTAAAAGTAGCATGCTTGTTCTAATCAGCATGCCCTCCGCTGGGTAGTAGGAAACACATTCTTCAAATGTAGCTAACAATGAGCCACCTACTTATAGATTATAGGCTGTAAAAGTATAAATAACAAACTAAAGCAGTGAAAATCACTGCTGTGGGATATAACAAGGAAGTAAGTATGCCATTTCAGTCTGCCCAATATTTAATTTAATGCGTTCCCTTCAAAACGTTTTAAAGTTTTTAAGGATCCACCACAAATATGTGGTTCTGACCGGACTGGATAACATGATCACATGGACCCCAGTGGCCCATTTACTTGCCCTTCATGTCAATGCTTCAGCGTTCTTTACCTTTATCCCGGTCGTACAGTAGATCCTCTGTGGAGTAAGGACTGCCGTCGTGTGATCCCGGTGGGCAGGCAGGCGAGGGGCAGGGCGACAGGCTGGAGCAGCTGCTGGACCGGCCGGGGGCCGAGGGAGTCTGGGTGTCGACGCTGCGGGTGCTGCTGCTGCGCTGCTGGGGAGGGAAGGGCGCCCGCCGGCCATCAGGAACCTCCAGGGACTGCAGGATCCAACAAGAGACAGACAGCAGGGCAGAAGAACAGAATACTAATCAGAGCTGAGACAAGGAGCTAGAGTTACACACAGTTTGCTGATACTTAGGGGTCCAGAAACAAATGAGAACCCCACCTTGAGCTCCTCCTTCTCTCCATTGTCTTTGATAAAGACCTTCTCCAGCTCATGGTTGATGCCCTCCATGCTGCTGGGCACCCTGGAGATGGAGGGCTTTGGCACTGTTATGTTAGACAGCGGCATCTGGGCCGACTTCGACATGGAAAACTGCTGCAGAACACAAAGTGTTTTCAAATCAGTGAATTTGAATAGCACTGACATCCCTTTCAGCCCAGCACTAACACCCTGAGGATACTGAGAGTGCACTACCTGAACGTGGCTGGCTGTGGAGGTGTGGTTGGTGGTGCTGGTGAGGGCGGTGTAGGGGATGGTGTACTGAAGGGGGGACAGTCGGTCCTTGTCTTTACTGTGACGTCCTCCCTGCTTACTGCGCTGGAGCTGCTGCCGGAGCTTCGCAATCTGCTGGAATCAAACGGGAGAAGAGGAGCCAAAACAGAGAGACACAAACATTTAGCAGTTAGGCAGACCAGGAAGTTAACAGAGAAGTCAATCCATAACTCTGTAGTATAATGTTTCCTGCCCTGTAGTGATAGTAAGCTAAAAAAGAACCAACACTACAAACTGGTCAGGCTTGGGACCTCTGTAACCTTTTGGTATTTTTATTACTTGAGTGGCTGATTTGCTTGTTGAGCAGCAGCAGTGTTGTCATCTGCTGATGCTCTCATCCTCCTTTGTTCCCTCCATGTTTCCTGGGTCTCACCACTGTCTCTAATAGTTTTACATTGTCCATAGGAAGTAAACCTTCAAAATGGAGACACACTCTATTGACAAAATAGTCCACCAGATGTCACTGTTTCCAGTGCAGCAGGCACCACCTGCTCAGTCAAGTTATTATTTGTACTCTGGCACTGCTGTGGTCATTCAAAGCCATTTTACACTGGTTAATTTTACTTTTCAAATCAAACGTTCACAGTACAGGAAATCTGTATGTACTTGTATCTGTGTAAGTCCCTATACAGTCCAGCAAAAGAAAAGGGAGGGGAGTCTGACTGTGAATGTACTAAACCTAGTTATACCTGGAGCTTCTTCCACTGTCTGTATTAGCCTCCCATCTCTTTTATTTTTAACATCTCTTTATTGTAATTTATCAGTTGATTTGCATTGTTATTGTTTGTCTTGTTTTGTTAAAATTACAATGAAATGTTGTTTTATATTATAGTCTGATTATTTTTTAAATCTATTTTGTTCTATTAACTAATATTGTTACATTCTGTTTCATTCCTTTCTTGTAAATGTAATTGTGTTTTGGCAACACATATCAAATGGCATGCCAATAAAGCCTATTGAATAAAAAACAAAAAACAATGACAGAATTCCCAGCCTTCCACTGTCCACCTGCACTCCAGAACATGTCCATGCATGTTCCCTCACACAGTCCTGACACTGGCACTCACCTTCACCGTAGAAACGCAACGCATGCAGTTCTACGGTTGGAAATAGGGCTGCAGCTAACAATGATTTTAGTACTCGAAGCTTCTATAGATTATTTCAACGATTCATCAATGCATCATTTAAAAAGTACTTTTGCTTGGCCATATCGCCGCCCCTACAGGATGTAGCACTTATCAAGCTCTGTGTGAAAAGGCTGTAAAGTGATTCCTATATTTGGGCCACTGTACCAGTTCTACAGTACAGTCCTGGTCATGCCAAGTTTTCTGCTTACAGGCAGTGAAGTGAGTCTTTCATAGCAATACTATCTGTTAGTGAAACACACAATAGACATTATAAGGCTAAAAGAAAGATGCAAGTGGTGCATAACTGAAGGAAGTATCAGAGCTTCAAGCTAAACAAAGAAGTTGAAGATGTAACCTTGGTCTCTGAGAACTTGTGATGGCTGTTTCTCACTTTTCTCATAAACTGAAGAAAAGCCTCACTGAGACTCCTTAGATTGAAATCACAGTCCATGGTGAGAACGCTGCATGGTCAATGGCCCTTTGAGCTTAGATTATTTTGGTACATAAACTATAAAAACACTAACAACAGTAATGGTTAGGATCGCAATCAGGATTTGATGAAACCAGGAGTGCTGTCCCTGTGGCTGACTTACCACATCCCTGCTGGACTGTGGAAAATCACTCATTATGTTAAAGTTACAGAGTCAGAAGTGAGAAAACCTCGAACTTAAAAATAACACTGACTTTTAAAAAAATAAAACATCTAAAACATTTAGTTTTTATCATCTTTTAACAAACACCATTTATCATACGCTATAGACCAATGTGGGTTAAAATACACTGAATGGCCACTGCCAATCATAATTAGTAACAAAGAACAGGGTTTGATCTGAAAATCAAATCCTGGGTGATAAGTTTAGTGACAAAACTTGATTAAAACTGATTCTCACTCAAAACAAAACAGATTTTGATGACAAACAATGGCCCAACAGGTGGTTTCAGGCTGTGGTAAGATATTTTGGCTTTGATACTTCAATGATGCATCATTATTTTATAATTTGTAGTGGTTGCCAATGTTTCCTCCCACTGACATTTATAAGATCGCTTCCCCTGCTATGAAGGTGACAAGCTGTAAGGTGTAAGTTTGTGTTTTTGAACTGAAGATCATGCAGTCCAGAAATATAGACAGAACTGTGAATCAGAAAAAAAACACAATTTTCTCTCTCCGGCCACTGAAGGTGAAAGGTGTAGACTGACATGGGTCATATACTGTATTTCCCCGGCAGGGGAACAGATGTTTGCGAAAATGTGCACCTTTATTCGACTACTTGCAGATAAATCGGTTCTGTTGTTTATAACAGCCAAAAAATGACAATTAAAATAGAAACGGAACAGACAGATCCTTCAATCATGTTGTGAGTTGTTGTTACATAGTTTGTCCACCACAGTGCTATCTGCCAGTCCCCTGTTGGCAACGTATGAAACACTACAAAACCACCACAAACGAGAAGGGTCTAGCTACGGACTGTAGCTTAGGGAGCGTGGCGTAAGTCTCGGGTTAGGTAAAAGTTCATCAGACTATAGAAGGCGGGATTTGAAGAAGACGGTAACATAAAGTAACGGCGCAGCAGAAGCATTCAACAGTAATGAGCACAGGGTAACAGGAATGAGCACAGGGTAACAGGAATGAGCGCAGGGTAACAGGAATGAGCGCTGGGTAGCAGGAATGAGCGCTGGGTAGCAGGAATGAGCCCAGGGTAACAGGAATGAGCACAGGGTAAAAGGAATGAGCGCTGGGTAGCAGGAATGAGCCCAGGGTAACAGGAATGAGCACAGGGTAACAGGAATGAGCGCTGGGTAACAGGAATGAGCTCAGGGTAACAGGAATGAGCGCTGGGTAACAGGAATGAGCACAAGGTAACAGGAATGAGCACAGGGTAACAGGAATGAGCACAAGGTAACAGGAATGAGCACAGGGTAACAGGAATGAGCACAGGGTAGCAGGAATGAGCGCTGGGTAGCAGGAATGAGCCCAGGGTAACAGGAATGAGCCCAGGGTAAAAGGAATGAGCGCTGGGTAGCAGGTATGAGCCCAGGGTAACAGGAATGAGCACAGGGTAACAGGAATGAGCACAGGGTAACAGGAATGAGCGCTGGGTAACAGGAATGAGCTCAGGGTAACAGGAATGAGTGCTGGGTAACAGGAATGAGCACAAGGTAACAGGAATGAGCACAGGGTAACAGGAATGAGCACAAGGTAACAGGAATGAGCACAGGGTAACAGGAATGAGCACAGGGTAACAGGAATGAGCGCAAGGTAACAGGAATGAGCTCAGGGTAACAGGAATGAGTGCTGGGTAACAGGAATGAGCACAAGGTAACAGGAATGAGCACAGGGTAACAGGAATGAGCACAGGGTAACAGGAATGAGCGCAAGGTAACAGGAATGAGCACAGGGTAACAGGAATGAGCACAGGGTAAAAGGAATGAGCCCTGGGTAACAAGAATGAGCCCTGGGTAACAGGAATGAGCCCAGGGTAAAAGGAATGAGCCCAGGGTAAAAGGAATGAGCACAGGGTAACAGGAATGAGCCCAGGGTAACAGGAATGACCGCAGGGTAACAGGAATGTCCAAAGGGTAACAGGAATGAACGCAGGGTAACAGGAATGAGCGCTGGGTAACAGGAATGAGCGCAGGGTAACAGGAATGAGCGCAGCGTAACAGGAATGACCGAAGGTTAACAAGAATGAGCGCAGGGTAACAGGAATGAGCCCAGGGTAACAGGGATGACCGAAGGGTAACAGGAATGAGCACAGCGTAACAGGAATGACCGAAGGTTAACAAGAATGAGCACAGGGTAACAGGAATGAGCCCAGGGTAACAGGAATGAGCACAGGGTAACAGGAATGAGCCCAGGGTAACAAGAATGAGCCCAGGGTAAAAGGAATGAGCACATGGTAACAGGAATGAGCGCAGGGTAGCAGGAATGAGCGCTGGGTAACAGGAATGACCGCAGGGTAACAGGAATGAGCACAGGGTAAAAGGAATGAGCGCTGGGTAGCAGGAATGAGCCCAGGGTAACAGGAATGAGCACAGGGTAACAGGAATGAGCGCTGGGTAACAGGAATGAGCTCAGGGTAACAGGAATGAGCGCTGGGTAACAGGAATGAGCACAAGGTAACAGGAATGAGCACAGGGTAACAGGAATGAGCACAAGGTAACAGGAATGAGCACAGGGTAACAGGAATGACCTCAGGGTAACAGGAATGAGCACAGGGTAACAGGAATGAGCCCAGGGTAACAGGAATGAGCACAGGGTAAAAGGAATGAGCGCTGGGTAGCAGGAATGAGCCCAGGGTAACAGGAATGAGCCCAGGGTAACAGGAATGAGCACAGGGTAACAGGAATGAGCGCTGGGTAACAGGAATGAGCACAGGGTAACAGGAATGAGCACAAGGTAACAGGAATGAGCGCAGCGTAACAGGAATGAGCGCAGGGTAGCAGGAATGAGCGCTGGGTAGCAGGAATGAGCACAGGGTAACAGGAATGAGCACAGGGTAACAGGAATGAGCGCTGGGTAGCAGGAATGAGCCCAGGGTAACAGGAATGAGCACAGGGTAACAGGAATGAGCGCTGGGTAGCAGGAATGAGCGCTGGGTAGCAGGAATGAGCGCTGGGTAGCAGGAATGAGCGCTGGGTAGCAGGAATGAGCGCTGGGTAGCAGGAATGAGTGCAGGGTAACAGGAATGAGCGCTGGGTAGCAGGAATGAGCGCTGGGTAGCAGGAATGAGCGCTGGGTAGCAGGAATGAGCCCAGGGTAACAGGAATGAGCCCAGGGTAACAGGAATGAGCCCAGGGTAGCAGGAATGAGCACAGGGTAACAGGAATGAGCCCAGGGTAACAGGAATGAGCACAGGGTAACAGGAATGAGCCCTGGGTAACAGGAATAAGCTCAGGGTAACAGGAATGAGCGCTGGGTAACAGGAATGAGCGCTGGGTAACAGGAAT